TCCTCAGAAGAAAGAAAGACGAGAGAAGCTAGCCGACAACACCTGTGGTTGCTATTGATGTTAATCAAACATCACAACAACAACCTCAGAAACTATGAATGACTCCAGATCTGAGACTCCAAAAAGTGTACTCCTTCTAGGATGAGGAAGTTCCAGCCATCTTGAAATATGTCCTCACCAACGATAAGATCGAACTACCGCCTATTAAAGATTAGGAAGGAGCTAAGAGGAGTACGGATTCAAACTTCTATGTGTACCACGGGAAGGTTCTTCATCTCACCAAGGTTTGCTTTGGCCTTAAAAACAAAATCCAAGCCTTGATTGACTCCGGCATTATAACGGCAAAGCAAGCCAAATGAGAGCGGTGTAGACTCCAAAGAGTATACGAGTATAAACTACTTCTCCATCTACTCCAACAAGATATACGAGTATAAACTATTTTCCAAATCTCTAACTGGTACACAAGGCTAAACTGTTTTCCAAACCTCCAACTAGTACACAAGGCTAAATTGTTCCCTACCTTTGATGGGAAGTTCCTGGAGAATAGTACACATGGTGTTCTTAAGGATAACCCAAAACCAATACATTTTTAATCATGATAAAGAATGATTAAGAACCTCCCACTCTAGCTATTTAATCATTTCCAAGATGATTAAAACCCTCCCTTTGTGACTTCTCAAGCACTCTTTTGTCGAGATGAGATTCAATGACTTTATTCGGTCAATCTTCCCTCACGAAACCCCCACGGTCTAATTATGGAGGGCTTAATCCCTCACTGATCAAATCAATTGACGGTGGGTCCACTAAAAATTATTTCTAGTTTGATCCACTCAAACTCCCACTGTGTCTGTACACTCAACACTTCCATTGTTAGAGTCCGGACACAGTATTAAAAGTTTCAAACCTTATTGTGTTAAAGTCCTTGCAACTTGTCACTAGAAACTCCTACTGTATTAACACATTGATTTGTGCAAATTAACACTCCTACTATTATTTGTACCACCTCACCCCCATTTGGTCAAACCTTTAAACAGTTAGGTCCAAAACCAAAATCCCCTCTCGATTCCTTCCATGAACGAGAGGTCCACAAATTGAACGATCAAACATTTAAACAGTTAGGATCATCTCAAACTCTCTTCGGTCAAACCTTTAAACAGTTAGGGCCAAAGACAAAATCCCCTCTCGATTCCTTCCATGAATGAGAGGTCCACAAATTGAATGATCAAATCTTTAAATAGTTAGGGTCATCTCAAAATCTATCTTGGTCAGACCTTTAAACAGTTAGGACCAAAATCGGAATCCCCTTTCGATAAATGAGAGGCTTTCACCCACATCTAGCGATCAAACCTTTAAATAGTTAGGATCATCTCAATCTCCCCTTTGGCCAAACCTTTAAACAGTTAGGGCTAAAGTTAGAATTTTATCTCGATAAATGAGAAATTCATTGTCAGATTGGATAACTAAACCTTTAAACAATTAGGGTTATCTAAATCTTTCGATTCTCGGAGTAAAGATCACACTCTTAGTTTTATCCTTCAGATTCTTAAAGTGGAGATCCTACTTGAGTTTTTTTTGCATCTGGATATAGAATATAAAATTCTTCCTCTCTAGCATAGGGTTCGTCTTTGCTCCAAGAGAAGACACAACACAGCTCTTCAGCACTAAAATCTATGCATTTCACGCATGGGGAACTTTATCTCGACTCTTGAATAGAGATAAGTCTAAGCCTAACATGCGTTGCCAGTTATTCTTTTATCGTGAAAAGGACAACAGCTCATGTATTCGACATCGTGGCAGATTATTATTAATAACACCAGAATCCATGTTTCACACGCATGGGGAACTTTATCTCGACCCCTAATCAGAGATAAACCTATGTCTAACACGCAATGCCGGGTGGTCCGTTCCCGCGAAAATGACCAAGTCTATGTATTCAATATCATAGCACCAAGTCTAAGAGAGTTTATTCTTTTAACACAACATTACATGTGAGACAAGTTAAATAATTCACATGCTAGCGCGATATAATTTGGTAATCGGTAAATGCAAGTTAAATCCGTTGATGGCTAGGGGTTTGCCAAAAATCCTATGAGCATCCCGTGAGGGATGATTAAGCCTATGTATTCAATATCATAGCACCAAATATAAGAGAGTTTGTTCTCTTAGCATAACGTTATATGCAAAATGGACTTAAACAATCTGCATACTAGCCCGATTCAAACGATAGTTGGTAAATGTACTTCAAACCCGTTGATGGCTGAGAGTTTGCTAAAAATCCTATGAGTATTATGCTTATCTATTCAAAATGGAATGGGTAATCATAATAAGGGACAAAAGTCACTAACGCACCAGCTTCAACTCCAGCCGAAGCTTTGAGGATAATAACTTCAGATGTTTGACAACTTCAGAGATAGTAGCTGTATCAGCACCAATAGTTGGTCTTACGATTAAATCTCACACAAAGAGATCAACCTGGCGAGCATCCGAAGCATTCTCAGCTCGCTCTTCCCAACACTCTGATGAGTATTTGAGTATAAACTGCATCTCCTTAAACCTCTTATAGGTACACGGGATTAAACTAATTTCCGAAACTCCTAGGAGTATATGAGTATAAACTGGTCTTCCCCGTTCTAATGCCTTAAGAGCATAAACTATATATACTCCAGTTAACGTATGAGTATAAGTTGCGATGAAGGTCAACGCCAGTCAAAGTGTAGCCGTAAGTCAACGCCGGTCAACACATTATAGTAAAGGTCAACACTGGTCAAAGCGTAGTCATAAGTCAACATTGGTCAACACATTACAATGAAGGTCAATGCTAGTCAACAAATGTGTTGTGAGGAAGAGTCAACGTCACTCAACACATTGCAATGAAGGTCATTGCATCCACAATTTTTAGCCAAAACAAGGCTCAGTTCGAATCCAGAACAAAGGATGATCCCAAGGATTTTAACCATTTTTCAGATATGAATTCTAGATAAAGGTAGTCAGTTCAAGCATTGACTCAATGACACGAGCTAATCTCATAAATCAATGCACCGGTTTCAATTTGAGACTTCGACAACGGTTAGACGATAAACGTAGTGCCGGAAGAATTTTAGCTATTCGATAAAATATTGAATAGATTGAAAATCATAGAAATCAAGAACTGAAGCCAATCATAGGTTCTTTTACACTGATTAAAGGTTGAGCCTATTACATCCAAAGTATTTCAGCCTCTTCTATAAAAGAAGCGAGACTGAAACACTTTGGAGGGGGTATCGGTAGATGTCAAAAATTACCTATAGGTTCTCGTACGTAGCTCGAGATAGATGTAGGCGTCAAAAAATGCTAATAGATATCCCAAGCATAGAGAAGATCATTCAAAAATTCACAAGAAAGGATTTCATACTGTTTTGGAAAAATCAAAACAAGTATGAACTGTCTCGCCAGCGAGACAGTCTTTCTTTGCTGTCTCGCCAGCGAGACAGTCTTCGCTGTCTCGCCAGCGAGACAGTCTTCGCTGTCTCGCCAGCGAGACAGTGTTGAAATAGTCAAAACTACATTTGTAACTGCCCTACACATGTCCATTAACTGCCAAGGGACGTGGGAAACATCATGGGCGAAAATCACGTGGATAACTGCCAAAATAACGGAGTTTGAAACGTGAGAGAACAGTTACAGCGAGAAACTGCCATTTTCCGAGACAGCATTTACTGTCTCGAGGATAACCCGAGATCAGTTCACTATTTTAAATGAGAAGCTGGTCATTTGAATAATTCACTGTTCTTTTACAACTTTTGTTGAGATGAGATTTAATGATAGTTAATCTTTCCTCAGCAAAACCTTGTAATATAATCATGGAAGATGAGATTTGATGATTTGTAATCTCACGCTATGAAACCCCCATCGGTCGGATTGATCAACGATCATCAGTATGTATCAGTCGACAGATTATTTCGTGTCAAATTCTTATGTTTAAAATCAAAATTTCCCACCGATTAGTTTGTGCAAATCAACAAACTCATTGTTATTTGCACCCTACTCCTATTCCTCACTTGGTCAAACCTTTAAACAGTTAGGACCAAAGCCAAAATCCCCTCTCGATTCGTTCCATGAACGAGAGGTCCACAAATTGAGCGATCAAACCTTCCTACAGTTAGGATCGTCTCAAAATTCCCACTTGGTCAAACCTTACTACAGTTAGGACCACAACCAAAATCTCCTTTCGATTCATTTTTGCGAACGAAAGGTTTACTTTTGAATTGAGTAATCAAACCTTATGACAGTTAGGGTTATTCAAACCAACCTATTTTCTCTAAGTGGAGATTCCACTGTGAGTTTCCTTTTCATCAGGAGATAGAATATAAAATTCTCCCTCTCCGATTCTGGGTTTATCTCTACCAACAAACAAGAGACCAGGAGATAGAATATAAAATTCTTCCTCTCCGATTCTGGGTTTATCTCTACCAACAAACAAGAGACCAGGAGATAGAATATAAAATTCTTCCTCTCCGAGTATGGGTTTATCTCTACCAACAAACAAGAGATTGAGAAATGGAATATACAATTCTTTTTCTCTCCGATTTTGGGTTCGTTGTCCTATATAGGAAATGCAACCTATTCACACTTTGAAATCCATGTTGTTCACACATGGGGGATGTTATCTCTATCCCTTATTAGAGATAAGCCTACATCTAACACATGTAGCCTACATATTCAACAGTGTAGTTCAAAGTCTAAAAGAGTTTAATTCTTTTAGCGCAACGTTATATGTGAAACGGACTTAGATAATTCACATACTAGCCCGATTCAAACGGTAATCGGTAAAGGTATATCAAATCCGTTGATGGCTGAGGATTTGCCAAAAATCCTATAAGTATTATGGTTATTTATTCTAAACAAGAATGAGTAATCATAATAAAACCTCAATGAGCAAAAAGATTCAATATAATGAGCAAAAAGGTTCATTATGTTGACCAAGAATTTTCAAACAAAGCTACAAAAATATATGTCCTCCAATTACAAAAGTTTATACTGACTAATCTGATTTTCAAGTTTTGACAGCTCTAACGCACGAGCCTGTTCAAGCTCAGCTGCCAATTTGATTTTAAAGGCTTCTTCGTCAACGTTGTGAAGCGCGGCGACCTCTTGTTCCTTTTCAGCAATCATTTGGTCTTGAAGGTTCAGTTGCTGTAATAAGTTGCCTTCAGTGTGAATTTCCCGCTTCAACTCGGACTCCAAGACATCATGAGCATCCTTGGCCATTGCAAGTTCCTCCTCTAAGCGAGCTATTTCTGCTCGACTCGATTCTAAATCCCGACGTAGGTTAACCTGGGCTTGTATTCTCTTGCCAACATTCATCCTAAGTTGATCGCTGTGGGCTCTTAGCTGTTGGAGCTCGAGATTAGCTGATGTTTGGGAATCACGCAACGCTTGTAGCTTGGAGTCCATGCGAGAAGCAATGTAGGAAGGTACGCTTTCAGTGCGAAGACCCCTCAGAAGGTCAACATGTTGCTTCAAGTCAACCATGTAGGCGTTGATCGAATCGGCTAAATCATTATATCCTTCATCTCGGATCCCTGATATATAGCGGTCAAGAGGTTTCTTAAAACTCTCAAATCGCGATCCTTTGGAGAGAATACGATCAACCATAGAATTCAAAAAGGAGATGAAGCCGTCGAGATCAGAGCAAATGCCGGCTTTATCCGGATCCTCGTCTGCTAACAAAGCTCGGATGCGATCTGATAATGATGATGAAGGAACTGCGATGAAGGCAAATAGGTCAGTACAGGACATATATATACATACAAAACAACAAACTAAGACATACCAAGTTCGATGGAAGAACCTTCAGCATGACTTAGTTCACCCGAGGATGGTAACCTGATTTCCGGAACAACCAAGGTTGATTCAGGAATGGTAGCTGTTGATGCACCCGCTACATCAGGGACTTTTTCAACTAAAGTCTCAGAGGACGGCGGGTCCAAACTAAGAGACTCTTTAAGAGGAGATTCTACAAACAGGAGGATTACAATGAGCATAATGATAATCCGAGCTTGAAACAAACGATAAATGAAACTCACCAATTCTAGTCACAACATCGGCCGACGTACCAACTTCTTCAGTTGGTCTCGCTTTTATTGCAACTGGACTAATCTGGGGAGTGACAGTGACTTCTATCATCATGGGGTCCATAGGAGTAGAAGGTTGAGGTTCAAGAACTGATGATTGAAAATCAACTTCGGTTCTTGTCCACGGCACAAGTTCACCACCCTCCAGTCGATCAGACGTACCAATGATTATAGTAGTATCAGTTCCAGCAACTGGTCCTATAATTCAAATACTTATATGGTTAATCAAGTTAAAATATATATGTATGCATATATGGAGTTTACAGAATAAAGGTCTTACTTTCAGAAGGACCTGCTTCTGTTGGACCGACTCCAATGCTGGATTCCGTGGCTGCACCAGGAGTTTTCCCCGATAGTAAGTCGGAGATATACTCATGGTCGCCTTCAGAGAGATTGAAATCGAGGTGATGTTCATTGAATTCTTCGACCTCTGTTGTATGCGTGGTCTCTCCTCCAACAGATTCGTGCATTGTGACATCTACAAAATGTGTTAAGTCGTAAATTGACATCTACAAAACGTGTTGAGTCGTAAATGACACGTAGATTTAAACAAATTTGCTCAAGACAAAAATTGATTTTACCTTCATTGGTCGGGGCGGATTCGAGAGCTCCACTACTGGTACCTGCTTCTTTTAATTTGACTAAAAGGAGAGAAAGCGCACAGGTCATTAGAGGAGGCACACGGTCCGACTCATTCATTTCTCGGATTTCTCTTCCGAGAGGAGAAAGATCAGTACCTGTGGCCGCAGCTGATGGATCAACGTCAGGAGGGGGTGGAACATCAGCCGATCCTTCCTTCAGAGCATCATGCATTTGTTGGACGAAGCTTGTTTCCTCAATTTCCATACCTCCGGGAGAAGCAGCATCAGCTGGCAATTCTCCTTCCTCTCGACTCCCTGCAGAAGTTGAACATGAAATAAGTTTGAACATCAAAAAAGTGTAAAAGCTATAAAAACAAATCGCTACCTTGTTCATCAGAAGAAACACTACGACCGGATGTCTCTTCTACAGCAGGAAGATGAACGCGCGGTTTAGAAACAGCTTTCTTCTGTTTCTTCAGAGGGCGTGCACCAGAACCTTCATGACGATGTTTGGTGCGTAACTCAGCTCGGGGAGAAACTTGAGTTTGAGCTTGAGTAGAAGTTCGAGATATTTGCCGACGAATGAGAGGCACCATATCCTCTTCATCCTCTTCGTCGCAACTAAGAACTTCTACCGTCATCCGGTTAGGATGTTCCATGACGACTCTTTCCTTACGTTTCTTTGGAGCAGCTTGTGGTTGGGTCGGAGCGACAGAAGGCCTTACAAGTCCTCTATCAAAGAATGAATCGGGAAGGCCAGATACTTCCTCAGAACTTGATTCATTCTCATCTTCCCCTTCTGAAGTTTCGGTTGCTTCACTATCAAACTCCTCCTTGATTCATTCTCGTCTTCCCCTTCTGAAGTTTCGGTTGCTTCACTATCAAACTCCTCTTCACTATCAACTGGGAGAGCCGGTTCCTTTCCTTTCCTTGATGATTCAGCAGCCTATTTTCCTCGAGGCGACATCACAGCTTCACGAGGCGGTTCTGTTGCTTGTCGTGGAGCTATTTCCTCCTCTGAGTCTGATATCCTCCTACGTCGAGTGGCAATATTGGTGGCTATCAGCCATTTGCAAAAGAGGAAAGTCATCCGTAGAGGCGGCGTCTCTAAGGGGAGATCAAATTCAACATTGGTGCAGCCGGCAATGCTCCAAAACCAAGCTCTCGCCCCGTCGATAAGTCCACCTCGAAAGCTGAGGTGACGATTCGGGTTGCCGATGTATATCTGATCATACCCGAACTGACGGGCGAATCGACATGGAAGATAGGGTTCGATGTGGCAAACATCCCTTATCCTGAACAACAGATATCCAGGTCGAATATTCATCAACCATCTGAAGCACCCGACATCCAAGATGGTACGATTCTGCCTTGGGTCTTCAGCATCCACTAAGGTAGTGTTGTAAGTACCGGAGAACTGAGGGAAGCAAGGAAAAAATTCCCAACATTTGTGAATTTTAAACTGCCTCGTTATGTCCGGCTCTCGATGTTTGCTCCATTTGCAATTCTCGAGATTTTGCAACAGAGGGACACTGAGATCTACCGTATCAGGAGCCTCCATTAAATCTGGTCGATGAAGTACCAACCAGGCCATTAAGTAAGTATAGGGCAGCTCCAGCTTCGGAACGGACAGGCTGGCGGAAGGTTTCTTTTTCTCCTGGGTAAATGCGGAGATTAGTTGCCGCAATCCACTATGAATATCGGCCACCATAGCGGGAAGCAAAGATAATTTGCGACCTGTAGCCAGCTGGACGGCCGGATACAACACTTCCATTGGCATCGCATCTGCGGATTGATGGGGAACTACACATCTCTTTAACCATAAGGCTAGAAAACCCGCCAGCAGAGCAGTAGGGCTAATCGGAACACCAGCTTGCCACAGATAAGAGCGGAACTTAGTGCCGTGCAAAAATCCATCTTCTGAGCGCGAAGTATAAGATTGCGCGTTGGTTTTCTCTAACAGACGGTTAATTTCATCCGTACTCAAGGGAGACAATCCGCACACATCTGCCGAACGGACATCCAGATTCTTGAAGAGATAATCAGCGAATTGTTTTAAACTGACTTGAGGAGACTTCTTTCTGGCTTTGGGCTCCATCTCGGCCATGGCTATATGATAATGACAGGTCAATTCCCATAGAGTGTCATAGGTCGCAGTCGAGCTATCTTTCATCTTAATCAGCTGATTGGTGGTCGGAAAGAACTCTTGATATGGGACATCGCCCATAGGCAAAGCAGACACTTGCATCATTTCATGCAGTGGTAGTCCAAGTTCCCCGTTCTTGGTAAAGAATGTATTGGTGTCCGGGTTGTAGATCTCGAACAAACAAAGGAAATGACTTACACTGCTCTGCAAGCCATGCATGGTGGCACGAATCGGGACATCCAACCCTAATCCTGCTAATTCTCGCCCAAAACGTTTCAACACATATTGGGTCATCCTGGTCCACCACCACTTGTTCCCAGAATAATGGACCCATCCATAACACCTGAAAGTCTCTCTGGGCAATCTTTTTCCTGCTGCCGCTAACCGGTTCTTCACAGTGTTGGCTTGCACTATCTTTTCGTTCTGAGGAATATTGTCTTGTCCTAAGACACCCGGATGAAGTCCTCTCACATGAGCTCTTTCACTGGAACCTGGAGTTGCTTCCTTTCCAATGAAACCACAATGAATGTGCTCGTGGTTTTCGGTTAATTTCCAGAACATCTCTCGTCCAACTGATAGGTTCCTGAACATTAACAGTGAATGATCCCGAGGGATAAAAGGCAGATATAAGAATGATGATCCACTCTGGTGCAACCATTGCGCAGGCTGGCAGAAAGCAATCTTCGGATCTTTTACCGAGTCACCAAATAAGAAATCTGGCTTCCTTATGCATTGATTCGAGTCTTGCTCCGAGATCAAGGGCGCATCTGTGATTAATCGTCGTAGAACACGACAACTACCTCGCTGGATTAATTCACTATCACTTCCGTTATAATCAGATTTAAACTGGGGAGAGAATTCAATTAACGGGATCCCCTCGTAATAAGAGTGGGTCACGCTACTCCGGCCAGTAATCACATCAGCAGTAAATGTGGTAGAAGGAAATCGGACTGATAAAAGAGGCATACACATAAATGGTGTAAGTGTCATCCTAAAATTTTAGAGAAAAGCGGTATATCTCATTCTATAAGATTATAGTCGTTATCTCATAACAGGTGTGACGATTTTCTATCCACCATATGTATAAAGGAGGTATGCGGGCATTATAACGGCATACCAAAACCTTTCAATACATATGGGATGATGTAAAATCGCCCCTGTGTATTATGAAGTGTGTTTTGTCAAAGCAAAACAAACACTTTTAAGCGTCGATCCCCTCAAAGGAGGATACCGGCTCTTCTCGAAGGTACCTCAAAGGATACAAACGAGGATCTGCAAGCAAATACAGGTGCATATATATATGGAATGGACGAAATACAATATTTAAATTCGTGAAAAGGTGAAAGAAATATACCTCCACGTGAGATCGCAGCAGGGGCAGCCTCCTCAGGGCTCTGAACAGTCGGTCGGATTCCCTTCCCTCGAGCTCTACGTGGCGACATGATGAGTATGTGATCTACATTGAAATCCAAGAGGAAGGTTAAGATTTTGAACATGAAATCGATATCATCAAATATGGCCGAAATAATGCATGCATAGTCACAGTTGAAGAGAGTCAAAATTTTGGAGAAAAGGGGAAGAACAAACCTTTGAAATCTGAGTGAAATCTTCCCAAACAAGAGCACTTCCCAATTCGGCAACAAAGAGGAGAAGAAATAGAAGAAAACTGGTTGAAAATCGCCAAAAAATCGCCTGAAAATCGCCAGAAAATCGACGTGAAAAAACCCTAAAACCCCTAAGTCCCGACTTATATAGCAGCCGGGCGAGACAGGAAACTCTGTCTCGCTGAGCGAGACAGACAACTCTGTCTCGCCGAGCGAGACAGAAAACACTGTCTCGCCCAGCGAGACAGAAAACTCTGTCTCGCCGAGCGAGACAGTAAACTTTTCTGTTTTGCACTATGGAACAGTGGAATACTCCAATGGGTACACGAGTCTAAACTGTATTCCCACCCTCAACAGGAAGTTTCTGGAGAATATTAATCTGAATATTCTTAAGGATAACCTGAGGAATTCTCAATGGATATACCAATTCAATGGTAAACGCTGAATTCACAAGAGCAAGTATCAACTTCAATTCAAGATCTCGACAACGGTCAAGCGATAAACGCGACGCCGGGAGAACGTTAGCTATTCTACGAAGAACTGGATAGACTAACAGCAGAAGAGGTTAAACATTGAAGCCATTTACAAGTCCTTTCATACGATCTATTCAGCCAAGCATTGAAGGGATCGTAAGTAAAATCTATCTTATCCAAAGTATCCCATGCTCCTCTATAAAAGAATGAGTCTGGAATACTTTGGAGGGGGTATCTGTAGGCGTCAAAAAATGCTAATAGATATCCCAAGCATAGAGAAGATCACTCAAAAATTCACAAGAAAGGATTTCATACTGTTTTGGAAAAATCAAAACAAGTATGAACTGTCTCGCCAGCGAGACAGTCTTTGCTGTCTCGCCAGCGAGACAGTGTTGAAATAGTCAAAACTACATTTGTAACTGCCCTACACGTGTCCATTAACTGCCAAGGGACGTGGGAAACATCATGGGCGAAAATCACGTGGATAACTGCCAAAATAACGGAGTTTGAAACGTGAGAGAACAGTTACAGCGAGAAACTGCCATTTTCCGAGACAGCATTTACTGTCTCGCTGAGCGAGACAGCAAATTTACTGTCTCGCGGGTCGAGACAGCAAACGCTGTCTCGCCCAGCGAGACAGTAAACACTGTCTCGCCGTACTGACTTCTTCGATTGTTAAGTTTTTGCAGTTACAGACCCTTGAGGCTATAAATACCCCCCTAGGGTCACTTCTGACGAGGATCGAGCATTTGTTAGAGCATTCCAGAGCAGAGAGAGCAGAGATTTGGGTTCTTTTCTTGCAACGCCTTGAAATTAAGCTTCGACTTGATTTTAAGAAGAACGACTATCTTACTTCGATAAGATATCGTTTCAATTTCTACTTCGATAACGAAGTTAGAATCATAAGCCCCCTCTTCACGATCTGTGAATCGGCGGTCCACGAACCAAAGCGTTCCCGGCACAGGCAAAGTCCCACGAAAACGAGAATTGATAGACGATTTTCGTGTTTGTTTCTCAAGAGTTGTAATTTTTGTTTTGTTGTGTAGAAAAGGTCTTATAAAAAGATTATTCTTTCGAATTTGTTGTAATCGAACAAAGTTATAATGAATTCCACAGCAGCGACTTTTGAACCAAACAATAGAGAAAAGATAATAAACATTATTATCCAAGTCAAAAAGGATTATTTGATACTGATAAGTGCATGAAGTGAGTCGACAAAGCGTACGAATCAACGGGACGGGAGAATCACGAAAAGACGATTCGATCGGGAGTTACGGTTCACCCATGAAACACGAAGTGTCACTCATGTCTCATCCACTCCATATGTGATTCACCCATGGAAAATTGTATATCTCTTCTCTATCTTTCTAATACATTTTGGATCACCTCATTCTGAGATAGGACGTGAAAGTTAGAGC